CGTTTTTCTGGATTTTTGTTTTGTTATTCTGTCTCTCACTGTTCAAATAAACCTACCATTAAAATTATAGACTGATCATGTCTTTGTCAGTGGGCAAACGTACAAAATCAGCAGGGGATCAAATACTTTTTTCCCTCACTGTATCTACTGTATACAGTATACACATCAAGTACACAATACATGAAAAGCAAACACAAAACACGAAAAGCAAAACAATCATATAAAACAGACACATTCTTCAGTAAGAAGGCCCTCTAACATCCGCTTGAATTTGCATAATTACATATTATACTAATAGCTGTTTTTCTAAGCCCCACAATGTGTCTGTATTAAAACAATGAACATTCTGCTGAGTTTGAGTTTTTAGCCGAGCCTGCTTCCTTCCTCAACATTTTATTTAAATATTTGGCCCATTGATTTATGATTCCCTGTGGACAGAGCAGGTCATGAAATTGCTCCGCTACCAAAAGAATTTCTGCTGATGTAAGGGAATTTGTGAACAACATAATAACCAGCTTTATTGGTGTGGGAGGAGGGAGATATGACAGACTAATCGCTACACACACTGAACACACATGCATGCACGCACGAGTGAACACGCACGCACACGTGCACGCACACACACACGCGCACACACACACACACATACTCTCTTCAAAAGTCAGCTGTTGGTATGTCAGATATCAATGTTATGATCTGTAATGACAAGTCATAATAGCTGTCATTTCAAACGTCTGATGGCATCATCCCAATGGGTACAGACATCATTCCATCATCTAGTTTTGATTTACATTTGGTTGAGTTGTCAACTAACGTCAATTCAATGTGAAATCAACAAAACATTTCACCATGTCATTGGATTTAGGTTAAAAGTTGGGTGAAAAAATACGAAATGCCCTGACGTTGATAACTTTTTGCAATTCCAATCAGTTAGTTTTCCACATTGATTCAACGTCATCACATATTATTTATTTACGAAATGACGTGGAAACAACGTTGATTCAACCAGTTTTTGCCCAGTGGGATGTCGGCTATGTGGTGAGTGCAGCCAACCAGTGATGTCCTATTTTCGTTGAGCAGTGCCTGTATGTATTACTGGGGATTTTGCCTTTATGAATTTGTCATCAAAACAATTGGACAACTAAGTAAAGAAAATATGCATAAAATGTAATCAATTACTCAAACAAAGAAATCAATAATTTCCCTCTCCGGATATGGATCCATGTCTGAATTTCCAGATACTGTACACACCTGATTTATGAACTCTTTATGCTAGATCGTGTACATTACTCTAGTTTGACTATATGGAAATCCATTGGCCTCAATTTCCATTTCCCCAACTCAGTGTTCAGGGTAACAGTATGTCGGTAGGGGGTGATTATGCCCTAATTCTAATTAGATATGAGCTCCAACCCTGGGGTGACATCCACCCAGACACTCCCTTCAGTAATGAGTCTCCCTGGACTGGAACATCCACACCTCTTATAGGAATAGAGGAATATTAAGACAGGCCTGAAAAAGGTGGGCAGTGAGGGCAGGGGAAACAAAATAATGGAACGACTTTGGTAACACTTTACTTAAAGCTGACAGGAATAATGTTTTATTTTAAGGCATACAGTGCATTCAGAAAGTATTCAGACCCCTTGACTTTTTCCACATTTTGCTACGTTACAGCCTTATTCTAAAATGGATTAAATTGTTTTTTCCCCCTCATCAATCTACACACAATACCCCACAATGACAAAGTAAAAACAGGTTCTTAGACATTTTAGCAAATTTATAACAATTAAAAAAATGGAAATATCACATTTACATAAGTAGTCAGACCATTTACTCAGTACTTTGTTGAAGCACCTTTGGCAGCGATTACAGCATCGAGTCTTCTTGGGTATGACGGTACAAGCTTGGCACACCTGTATTTGGGGAGTTTCTCCCATTATTTTCTGCAGATCCTCTCAAGCTCTGTCAGGTTGGATGGGGAGCGTCGCTGAACAGCTAATTTCAGGTCTCTCCTGCATTGTCTTGGCTGTGTGCTTAGGGTCATTTTCCTGTTGGAAGGTGAACCTTCACCCCAGTCTGAGGTCCTGAGTGCTCTGGAGCAGGTTTTTATCAAGGATCTCTCTGTGCTTTGCTCCATAAATGTTCCCTCGATCCTGACTAGTCTCCCAGTCCCTGCCGCTGAAAAGAATCCCCACAGCATGATGCTGCCACCACCATGCTTCACCGTAGGGATGGTGCCAGGTTTCCTCCAGACGTGACGCTTGGCATTCAGGCCAAAGAGTTTAATCCTGGTTTCATCAGACCAGAGAATCTTGTTTCTCATGGTCTGAGTGTCTTTAGGTGCCTTTTGGAAAACTCCAAGCGGGCTGTCATGTGCCTTTTACTGAGGAGTGGCTTCCGTCTGGCCACTCTACCATAAAGGCCTGATTGGTGGAGTGCTGCAGAGATTGTTGTCCTTCTGGAAGATTCTCCCATCTCCAGAGAGGAACTCTGGAGCTCTGTTAGAGTGACCATCGGGTTCTTGGTCACCTCCCTGACCAAGGCCCTTCTCCCCCGATTGCTCAGTTTGGCCGGGCAGCCAGCTCTAGGAAGAGTCTTGGTGGTTCCAAACTTCTTCCATTTAAGAATGATGGAGGCCACTGTGTTCTTGGGGACCTTCAATGCTGCAGACATTTTTTGGTACCCTTCCCCAGATCTGTGCCTTGACACAATCCTATCTCGGAGCTCTATGGACAATTCATTCGACCTCATGGCTTGGTTTTTGCTGTGACATGCATTGTCAACTGTGGGACCTTATATAGACAGGTGTGTGCCTTTCCAAATCATGTCGAATTAATTGAATTTACCACAGTTGGACTCCAATCAAGTTTTAGAAACATCTCAAGGATGATCAATGGAAACAGGATGTACCGGAGCTCAATTTCAAGTCTCATAGCAACGGGTCTGAATACTTATGTAAATCTATTTCTGTTTTTTTTAGTTTTTTTTATTTGCAAACATTTCTAAAAACCTGTTTTCGCTTTGTCATTATGGGGTATGCCTGTAGATTGATGAGGGAAAAAAATTATTTTATCAATTTTAGAACAAGGCTGTAACATAACTAAATGTGGAGGGGTCTGAATACTTTCCGAATGTATAATATGTTATGTCTCTGTACAGCCTGGTCGGCAGCTATACTTAACGTATCTCCAAGATATGCCAGGAGGTAGCATAGCAAATGCTCAACTGACTCCAAATGGCTGTTCTTTAGTCAGGTATCAAGTGATTATGGACACTTTTAACGCGTATATTGAAACAGCCATCCTCCAATGTTGAGTAACTCCCCACATTGTTCTTTCCACTGAGTTTTACAGGGTAGGGAAAAAATGATAGTGCAGTTTGACACTTTGCTCACTGGCCAGGGCTACATCCCTCTTGACTCACATCACGCCTCGGCTTCCCTCTGCACTTTCCATCCACTGTGATTTCAGATATACTTTTTCTATGTAATAAGCTACAAAAGAGAGACTTCAACATGGATAGCGATTCCTGTTTTTCAGGGTACATACCACACTGATGGTGGAACTCATTTCTCAAAAGCCATGCTCAAATACTAGATGATTATTTTGAAAGATACTGTCGTGTATTAGGATTATGCCTTTGTTAAATGTTTTAAGTGGAACCGGAGAGGACGTTAATTTTAGTATCAAGAGGGAATGTTTTAGTGTAACGCCACATACAACAGACAGGAAGTGTGTTGTAGATAGGGGAGACTGGTGATTGGCCAGAAGAGGGAGCACCCATCTTTTTGCATTGTTTATAAGTAGGGGCTAAACGAAGAAGAAGTCAGAGCGGCCATTGCAATCTGAGGCGTCGCTCTCCGGGTGGGCATGTCACCTGTAACTTATGCTGAAAGCTTGTGATCTGAATAAACCTTATGATCAAAGTTCAGTATGAGCGGACTCCTTTGTTTATCAGCAATAATTGCCAGCACTTACGCGATACGACAATACAGTATTTGATCTGTGATACTTCAGTGGGAGATTATTGCAGTGTAATAAATAGTAATGACACTGCTTCTTAGTGTACAACAGGGCTATTTTAAAAGACATGCTTTATGAGTTGTGGCAGCATGCATGCATCTTCTCTTGGTACAGTATGTCTTACTTAACATGTAGAAACCACATCCTTAGTACAACGCCAGCATTCACTTTTGATGACACCTATGTGAAAGATGATGTTGGATGACGTTGTTTAAAATGTGACTTCAGTTAAAAGTGCATTTCCCAAATCTCTGGAACCTAATTCACCAGGGAGCTGGACTGAAACTGGAATTTGATTAGAGGACTCTGCCTCAGACTAAAATGTTGCCTTGTTTAAACCTGAGGAGGTGTACAGTAATACACATAATACACGCCACGCTAAAGGTCAGTAGGTCACAAGGTTATTTTTCAGGTAAGCTGCAGAGAGTACAATTGACACATGACACCCACAGATTTACTCTGGATCAAAGCGACTGTGTCCCAGGAGAGGTGTGCCAAGTTCACTCAGAGAACTCCTAGTTCCATTGTAATGCCTTCTGAGCATTCATTAAAGAACAAAAGGACATATTTATGGTATACGGAAGCCGTGTTGGCCTCTTACCTTTTCTAAAATTGAGCTTTTAAAATGGATTGAACGCTGATCAGGAAAAATACGGTACCGTGACATGGGCTTATATCAAAAAGAATACCACTGCTATTAATATCACATGGAGAAAAAATGAACCCATAAAACCATTTTAATGTGTGCCATTGGCAATAGAGATTGGATACAGTGACTGAATAACAATAACTTTGCAACTTTGGCAACCCCAAACAATACAGTCAGTTTAATAGTAATGGGCTGTATACAAGTACAAAGTGTGCATAATACCCTTTCCAGAAATGGACACAATAAACAAATTAATTAAATGTTTCCTGGTACTAAAGACAGTCATTTACTGTCTGTCTTGGAAAGCATCGCATTAGCTATCAATCAGAAACAACAAGCCATGAAGGTGCCAAGTACCTTTATTCACATTAGCCACATACAGCAGTTTTATTTTTTGTGACCACAGTTCCCTATGGAAATAACTTCCAGATACACAGAAATGTATAAATAAATACTTCAATATTATTATATACCTTAGATAATTTGTGGCTGACAAAAACAATTAAATAAATACTTTTGGACCTAATAAAACTAAATATCTCTTCTTTCACTTTACACTATTTCACGTCAATGAAGTACAGCGTACGATCTACATCTGTTCATACCTGTTCTGATAAACTATCTTTAATACAAATATAAACACATTTTAAATATGTTATATTATAATATATAGTATCTTTATCTATATATTCTATATACAATTTCAAAGCATGACATTCTATGGATGTTGGACAAACGTAACTTGAGCTACTCCAGAAGTAGCATTGGTTACCTTCCCACATGATTCATGCAGCCTGGGATAGGATCTAAAGTTAATCTTAAGAGCGTACAGCGAAATAAAGAAAGTAGATGCAAGAAAACCGTCTTAAGTTTATCGCTTCAACCAAAGTGTTCCAGTTTAGATTCGTTTCTTGTTTAATTTTATTAAATAGTCTGCAATGTTGCTTCAATGAGAATATTGAACATTCACTGTATGTGTGCTATAAGAGGTCTGAGTCTAATTAAATTACTTGTATCATTCACGTTCATTCTAAGTAGCCTATACTGATTGTACAATATACTGTAGTTGACAAATTCAATTGCGCATCAACGTCTAAGGGGTTCTTGTGTGGTAGGTTAAAGTGCTATGTTAGTAAAGTAAGGACAACAATCACGATGCATGGACTGAACCCAGGCCGGGGTCAACAGCAGGTTCTGTAGGTGTGGGTTCTAGCCTTAGGACATGGTACCAAAGACTGGGTTATGGCGGCAGATGCTGGGGCCAAACTCATCGTAGTCCTTTTTTGAGTGACAAACTTGGAGAAACTCAGGCTGTGAAGGAAAAAAACAGAATACAAAAGCAAGGAGCAACAGGGGATTCATCTCAGTACTCAAGGCAGATCAAAAAGGTTGGATAACACCAGACACAGCATTATTACAGATGTAGGAACTTAATTTGAGCCAGTTTGCTACAGCAGGAAAATAATCCTGCAGCAACATGAAATGTGAATCATCATGTGGACGTTTTTTGTAGGGGTTGATACATTTTTCGTTTGGGCAAAGTCTGACATTTTAAAGTGGAAATAACAAACTTTATAAGCCTTTTTAAACCTCGTATACACTACAAGTTTGCATTTCCTGTTGTGCAGGAAAATTCTCATCAACAAAAGAGTAATCAAATGAAGATCCTACATCTGTAGGCTGAGTCCTGTACAGTGGGGGAAAAAAGTATTTAGTCAGCCCCCAATTGTTCATGTTCTCCCACTTAAAAAGATGAGAGAGGCCTGTAATTTTCATCATAGGTACACGTCAACTATGACAGACAAAATGAGAAAAAAAAATCCAGAAAATCAAATTGTAGGATTTTTTATGAATTTATTGCCATATGATGGTGGAAAATAAGTATTTGGTCAATAACAAAAGTTTCTCAATACTTTGTTATATACCCTTTGTTGGCAATGACACAGGTCAAACGTTTTCTGTAAGTCTTCACAAGGTTTTCACACACTGTTGCTGGTATTTTGGCCCATTCCTCCATGCAGATCTCCTCTAGAGCAGTGATGTTTTGGGGCTGTCGCTGGGCAACACAGACTTTCAACTCCCTCCAAAGATTTTCTATGGGGTTGAGATCTGGAGACTGGCTAGGCCACTCCAGGACCTTGAAATGCTTCTTACGAAGCCACTCCTTCGTTGCCCGGGCGGTGTGTTTGGGATCATTGTCATGCTGAAAGACCCAGCCACGTTTCATCTTCAATGCCCTTGCTGATGGAAGGAGGTTTTCACTCAAAATCTCACGATACATGGCCCCATTCATTCTTTCCTTTACACGGATCAGTCGTCCTGGTCCCTTGGCAGAAAAACAGCCCCAAAGCATGATGTTTCCACCCCCATGCTTCACAGTAGGTATGGTGTTCTTTGGATGCAACTCAACATTCTTTGTCCTCCAAACACAACGAGTTGAGTTTTTACCAAAAAGTTATATTTTGGTTTCATCTGACCATATGACATTCTCCCAATCCTCTTCTGGATCATCCAAATGCACTCTAGCAAACTTCAGACGGGCCTGGACATGTACTGGCTTAAGCAGGGGGACACGTCTGGCACTGCAGGATTTGAGTCCCTGGCGGCGTAGTGTGTTACTGATGGTAGACTTTGTTACTTTGGTCCCAGCTCTCTGCAGGTCATTCACTAGGTCCCCCCGTGTGGTTCTGGGATTTTTGCTCACCGTTCTTGTGATCATTTTGACCCCACGGGGTGAGATCTTGCGTGGAGCCCCAGATCGAGGGAGATTATCAGTGGTCTTGTATGTCTTCCATTTCCTAATAATTGCTCCCACAGTTGATTTCTTCAAACCAAGCTGCTTACCTATTGCAGATGCAGTCTTCCCAGCCTGGTGCAGGTCTACAATTTTGTTTCTGGTGTCCTTTGACAGCTCTTTGGTCTTGGCCATAGTGGAGTTTGGAGTGTGACTGTTTGAGGTTGTGGACAGGTGTCTTTTATACTGATAACAAGTTCAAACAGGTGCCATAAATACAGGTAACGAGTGGAGGAAAGAGGAGCCTCTTAAAGAAGAAGTTACAGGTCTGTGAGAGCCAGAAATCTTGCTTGTTTGTAGGTGACCAAATACTTATTTTCCACCATAATTTGCAAATAAATTCATTGAAAATCCTACAATGTGATTTTCTGGAAAAAAAATTCTCAATTTGTCTGTCATAGTTGACGTGTACCTATGATGAAAATTACAGGCCTCTCTCATCTTTTTAAGTGGGAGAACTTGCACAATTGGTGGCTGACTAAATACTTTTTTCCCCACTGTATATATATTGATTATATACACACATTACTACAGTAGACATTTGTGATAGTGAATATGATAACAATAATAATAATAATAATAGAACTTGTTAACCTTCCCATTTACCCCCCAAATAAATTATATGAGTATGACCATGTAGAAAATGTAGTGTGCATCTGTGTGCATGCGTGGGTGCGTGCTTTCGTACGTACGTGCATGCTCATTGTGTGTGAGTGTGTACATGGGCACTGTGTGGGGACTTACCGTAGAGGCAAGCATGGATCCTCCAAACCACACAGCGTAGCGCTGCATGTGGTGTGTGACCACCAGGACCTCCATGGGCTTGGGCTGAAAACAACAGGAAAGTAGACAGATTACCATCCATCCCCTGAGCCCAGTTTCTACCCTGCATCACAATAGCCTGGACAATGCCAGATCTGTATTGCCATCTCCTATGATTGTTGTCATGCCAAACCATAGGAGGCAGGAAGGCATGAACACACACATACCTTTATCCTTCCTCCACTGAGCTCCTCACTCAATTTGAGCCGGGCGTCTACCGACCGCTTCAGGTCTCTCTGCAGCCGCCGGCCAAAGTCTCTGAACATGGTGGAACCGCCGGACAGGACAATATTCTGCAATGTGTCAGTACACAACACGACTATAGGGTGTCAGTTTTCTAGCCCATCAAAACAATAACAACACCTTCATTCACCAGGAACTACTCAATCTGGCTAAACACACAATAATCAAGAGACAGAAAAAATACATAATTAGTGGGCGCTTATATTTGTCCTTTTTTACACATGTACAAGTATGTAATTTATACGCAATTAGGGTTAAATGCCTAGCTCAAGGGCACATCGACAGATGTTCAATATTTTTGTGCATGCTTTCTGTGACTAGTTAGGCTTCAATGTCATCACAGCATTAGGGGTTTATCACAAATTATAAACTGGGTGGTTCGAGCCCTCAATGTTGATTGGCTGACAACCGTGGTATATCAGACCGTATACCACGGGTATGACAAAACATTATTTTTTACTGTTCTAATTACGTTGGTAACCAGTTTATAATAGCAATAAGGCACCTCGGGGGATTTGTGGTATATGGCCAATATACCATGGCTATGGGCTGTATCCAGGCACTCCGCTTTGCCTCATGCGTAAGAACAGCCCTTAGTCGTGGTATATTGGCCATATACCACACCCCCTCTGGCCTTATTGCTTAAATAACAACCCTTGAAAGTTGCTGATATCAAATGTGTAAAGGCTATGCTGGTCAGGTCTCAAACCCTAACACGAGAGAGAGAGAGAGAGAGAGAGAGAGAGAGAGAGAGAGAGAGAGAGAGAGAGAGAGAGAGAGAGAGAGAGAGAGAGAGAGAGAGAGAGAGATCGAAAAGGCTCAGGGAAAACCGGACACTCATTTGACCTTAATTAAATATTGACGTTCAGCGATAATAGGGGATCAACCAGCGATTCTCCGTCATTACAGGTCGAGGGGGTTAATCGTTTGTTAACAAACTTTGGAGGCTTTGGGAGGAAATGTATCCCATTGTTTAGATTAGGATGAGCTGGAATAACCTCTGGGGCAATACAAAAAGTACCGTTCTCCATCTATTTTTCATCCCTCTCTCCCTCTATGTTTTGCCTTTCTGAAATGAATCAATTTATTACCAGTGTCAGAGGAGGAGATGAGAGCCCAGCAGCGAGCGTTTTACTGCAGATGACCACCTTTCAATTTGTGAAGAAGATGGTTTAAGCTTAAAGACCACCTCAGGTGTTGTGACTCGTGGGTACAGTTAGGATGCTCAATGAATTGTTAAATGTATTCAATTGCCCAGAAAATTGCAAGATTTGGTTCACTGGGCTATTACAAGTTCAATGACTTGTTTCAATGTTTTTTCGTAAATGCCCCTTTTTAAGGAATACCTGGAATAGTATAAAGTAATCCTTCTACCCCCCCCCCGTAATCCTTCTCCCCCCCCCCCCCCCCTGTAATCCTTCTCCCCCCCCTGTAATCCTTCTACCCCCCCCCTGTGAATGTAAATTTTATATGCAGATAAGTGGTATGGGGATAGACATGAGAGCAAGACAATTTCCACTCATTCTGTGTTTAGATTAAATATACAGTACCAGTCAAAAGTTTGGACACACCTACTCATTCAAGGGTTTTTCTTTATTTTTACTATTTTCTACATTGTAGAATAATAGTGAAGACATCAAAACTATGAAATAACACATATGGAATCATGTAGTAACCAAAAAAGGCCAACATGAATCTGCCGGTAAGATAACAAGTTGTACACTGACACCTGGTGGACAAAGGATGAAAAACTATTCTGAATCAAAATAACCAATTCTCCTAAATGTATTGCAGAGCAAGTCTAACATATTTATAAGAATCTTGCAAATCTTATTCTTTCTTAAATGAATTGTTAGACTGGAAAGATATGCGTTTCCCCCATCACACAACCCACTGCAGAATGTGGTGTTGAAGCCATACCTTATATAGAGGTCTTCTGACATCTATTGGACAGTTCATTATAACCTCGTCAACTATATCTGAGATGGGCTGCGTGAAGTCTGGGTTGGCAAACTGTAAAACACAGGAGCAGATTTACTGGGTATTAAAAGTGAATGTTTAAAGCAAGGTCCAATGCAGCTGTTTTCATCTCAATATCAAATCATTTCTGGGTAACAATTAAGCACCTTACTGTTATTGTTTTTAATTAAAATGGTCAAAAATAAACACAAATATCTTCTTAGCAAAGAGCAATTTCTCAAGCAAGAATTTTGCTAGGACTGTCTGGGAGTGGCCTTGGGAGGGGAAAACTGAAAACTAGCTGTTATTGGCAGATAGGTTTGGAACTCTTTCTTATTGCTCTATTAAGTCTATTAACTAATTTACCGCCTGGTGATGTCACCAGGCAGGCCAAAACTTCATCCCACCAAAACAGGCTGAAATGTTAGGCAATCTTTTCAAACAGCTCTTACACTAAAAGGGCATTATCATAACTTCACAGTATAATTCCAACCTCAATGTGGAAATATATATAAAACACAAGAAAATCATTTTTGACTGCACTGGGCCTTTAAATTAGAATAATCCTAAATTTGGCATCTTTATTCTGCATAACAATTATTTACCTTTTTTTTTTTTACTGATATCTTACATGACAACAATTGGTGCTTTCTTGAAGATACTCATTCCAAATGAGTAATTAACTCAATTGGATCCTTATTGGGTAACGACACTGACTGATAACGGTTGTCATGTTAGTTCTTATAGATAGTGTAGCATAAAATAAACGCTACCCATTATTCAGAATATCAATAAATACCTCTGGATGAAAGAATATTTCTGGACCTAGAAAGCGTTCATATCCAACATCTATGTGGAATTCAGATTTGCTGATGGCATTGATGCCTTTGTACTGCTTGATCCATTTCCCAGGGTCCGTGTCATATTTGGCGAATTCCTTCACAATGTCCGGACAGATGTAGCAGTACCTCTCCTAGGAAAACAAAACAACAAACAAAAAATAAACAAGTGTTAGCTTACATTGTCCATTTATGTACATAATGTAGCGTATTCGTAGGGTAGTGTCGATCGGGAGTCAAACCCGGGATCCTGCGGCTGTCAGTCCAACAACCATTACACCAATCAAAACCTCTTAAAGAGGTCACTAGGTGTTGTACAAAAGTAGCTTCACTACTATTCTCCTCCTCACCTTGACTGCCTTGGCTGTCTCCATGGACTGTTCCGGGGGGATACCCACCTCCCTCTCTCTGAGGAGCTGCTGGATGAACAAGGTGATGTCTCGACCTGCTATGGGGATGTGCTTTATACAGCTCCCAATGACGTAGCCTTCGGCCTAGCACAGGACACACAAGTTGCAATGACTCAAACAGCTAAAGTCAAGAATCCTAAATATCAAGTCAACAATAGGTTAACATAATATGATCCTGATCATGTCTCAAAGAGCTACTCTATACCTGCAGCATAACTATGAATTTGCACAACATTAAACACTTAAAGCTGCAATACGTAAATGTCTGTGCGGCCTGACCAAATATGTCAGTTATAAATCTGTCATTGTACACCAGCTTCAAACAGCTGAAAATACAATATTTTTGGTTATGGAAAATATATTTCCCAGCGGTTTAGATGGTACAATGATTCTCTACACTATACTTGCTTGTTTGTCACATAAACTGAAATTAGGCGAACTACAAAGATTTTAGCAACCAGTAAATGGTGGAGCGATTTCTGCATAGTGCATCTTTAGTAATAGCAGGTATACCAGTGACTTTTCTATTAACCAAAGTCTATGGAAGTCTATGGAAACAAATGGGGTGTGGGCATTTAGAAACCAGCTGACAGTGAAGAAGGCGTCTGAAGAAGTCTATGAACATAGGAAATTGTGATATGTGCTGGGACTTTTACGTTAATAAGTTCCAATATATCTCAATATGGGTACAGCACTTGTTTTTCACTCTATGGTATTCTATTTTATGGTATCCAATTCGATTTTATATTATATATAATCTATAGCCATAAAGAAAAACTCCACATACAGGATCCCAGCAATCATCAAATTTGACACAGCATTTTACTCATCATAAACAACAGACATAGAACTTCATGCCACATCGCTTTTACAGAGAGGGAGTCATATATACTCAATAAGCTAAATTGGCTACTTCTCCTTGTTTCCTCTCTGCCAGCAACCCTGATTTAAAAAGACAGGATAGCAACCCTTATTTAAAAAGACAGGATAGCAACCCTTATTTAAAAAGACAGGATAGCAACCCTTATTTAAAAAGACAGGATAGCAACCCTTATTTAAAAAGACAGGATAGCAAGCCTTATTTAAAAAGACAGGATAGCTAAAAGCAATATTCCGAAGGCCCCCAGGGGAATTTCCTTCACCTGGAGGAGGGAAAAGCCACTTTGGACTGTTGAGAAACAGCATGGGAGTCTTAGGCTGAATTTACACAGGAAACCCAATTCAGATCTTTTTTTCCCACTAATTGGTCTTTTGACCAATAACATCAGATCCTTTCACATCAGCTCTTTTTTTAGAGCTGATCTGATTGGTCAAAAGACCAATTAGTGAAAAAAATTGCCCCTCAGAATTGGGCTGCCTGTACAAAGGCAGCCTAATGCACACAGGGCACAGGGGGTTAACCAAGTTTTAAGTTGAAGCATGTCCTGGGGTGGGGCCAGGTTCTACCCATGTTACAGGGCTGTTTCTATCAGGGAAGGGATGGGATGGTTATAAAACTTCCCCTTACATGCCTTTCCTCATTGGATCCTCCCATTAACCCACGATGTCCTGGATCATGCTGTATATTGACATTCCTTTGAATTTGGACAGACATACAATCAAAACAGGTCAATGAAGGAGTTAAGTTGGGCTTGCTAGTTCCTTCCACTCACAAGAAAGGCATTTCTGTTTTGTTCCCACAATAAAAGCTAAGCAACCAAGATGGCCTAGCTTTTCTTGAGGAATGACAACACATATTGAGGGGTTATAATGCCTTCATAAGGTTGGCATAACACTTCTGTCATTGAAGATTATGGCAACCCCCAATGTTGATGGACAGTTTCATTAAGTTTAACGTGACATAAGACAACATTAAGCTTTCATGACAAGTGTGATTATAAGCCTCTATGACCTATTAGGCCTGCGACCTATTATGTCATAGTGTCTTTTAACAAAAAAAACTATGGATATGCTTTTGTTACCACAGGTATGGCATGGGTGACTCCATCTCCGCTGTCAATCACGATTCCTGTCAGTGTTCGCTCGCCTACTTGTCTAGACGTCCATGATGCTGCCAGGGCCAGAACTGCCTGAAATGAACCAGTACAATCATTGAGAGACATATTTCAATGTGATTGGATTTAGGGCTGTGGCGGTCATGAAATTTTGTCAGCCGGTTATTGTCATGCAAATATTTGCCTGTCTCACCGTAATTGACCCGCAATTAACATAAACATCTTTAGAATCTCCAGGCCTCCACGCATACAAGCCGCTGATGCACGCCTTTGGAACATCTACATTGAAAAAAGTCTAATAAATCCATTTAATATACACCACCACAATAAATCCATTATTTATTTTAGGCAGGTCTAAAGAAACATTATGATTTGAAGAAAATGTATTTCAGAGAACAGAATATGAGTTGGCCTACTGTATGTTATCTGGCTATGCGCCATGCCATAGGCTGTAGTCTAGTTCATTTAGCAAACAAGATATTCTTATAAGTCCCGTGCCATTATTTTATATAATATGATTTTATAGTAAGAAGAATATAATTGAACTTGGCTGAATAAAATTGAAAGGATACTTTATATTTCATTTGAAACAGGTCCTATATGGTAGCCTAGATTTTGAATTATTTGGCTAATTTAGTTGTGAATGATACAAACCTTAGAATGTCTTAGAAATCAAAACATATTTGGGCTGCATGATGCGACTATAGGCGATAAAAAGTCGCAAAAAAAAGCTTATGCTCTGTTCCTTGCCTCAGGCTGCACACCCTGTTCTCTCATCAAGTGGGCATATTTTCAACCATCAGACTATTCTCAATGTAATCTTGTCTTTACTAATATATAAAAAATAAAAAAAATTATTTAGAATGTCCCAATATCAAATGGTAGGAACAACAGGTGGCTGCCGAGGGGAGGACGGCTCATATTAACGTACGGAAACTGCGCAAATGGAATGGCATCAAACACCTGGAACGATGTGTTTGATGTATATGATACCTTTTCACTAATTCCGCTCCAGCCATTACCACGAGCCCGTCCTGTCCAATTAAGGTGCCACCAACCTCGTGTTGTAGGAACAGGGGGCAGGGGAAAAAAGACGTCATCGGTATTCACTCGAATAGCGAATGGAGGCTGCTTTCCCAGTTTAAATCATGCCGAGGCTACTCCGGTTTTAATGCGGAGCAGCTGAGAAATAGGCCTAAATATAGTAGCAGCAGGGATCCTCCTCTTTTTAGTGGCAACCATCAAAAACTCTGGTTTCACACGGGATTGCATTTAGAAATGTCTGGGCTTATAAAAACACTTATTTCACTTCATGCATCAACCACTGTTTGAGGAGCATGCAACCTCACCGCACGAGAGGTGATATTCCGCCCAAACTCTGTATGCTACAGGCTCTCCAACCATGTTCCTGCATCTACCCAGTGCTTAATTTGGGAAACCAAGTGAAATCTGTTCGGGAATAGCGATAGTAACGAAAACACAACGAAACGCATTTAATTAACTTAAACAGTTGACAGCCCCCATCTCTGCGTGCTCGAAAAAGGAATGAAGGAGAGGAGATGGACAAATTCACTATAATTGTAGGCTAACTGTAAGCCGCCCTGCACAATCAATGAACCAACAGCATCGCCTAGGCCTATACGTTCTCTCCCAGACTCATGGATAGAAAGTTTGGAGCGTAGCATAAGGTAACCAGTCCATCCAGTATGCATAATAATACAGTCCACACTCAAAGGTGATTACTAGAATCTGTTTAATTTTGAAGTATAGGCGAGACCAATTATGTACCAAAAACATCTTCAATCTATATATGTTTTTTTTTTTAAATGTTTTTCCATCTTGCATAATATGCAGTAGGCTATTCGGCTATGTGTTGTATAATGCCACAATCATTATTTTAATTCAGGTTTATTTTTCGGCCTTTGGCTCATGTACTGTATAGGCCTATGCGTATGCATAAACTCGAATATGTGTATGGGTGTTCTACATGCAATGTCTTAAATGCTTTGAATTAATCATCACCTTATAAAGAGCTGTCCATTTCGTTCTGTTAGGCTTTGAAACAACATCCACAACGACCATGTTTTCCACTCAGTTTCAACCTGTTGTTGAACTTCTTTCTTCAAATTGTTCATCACAGTGAGGTCAAAAAATGTAGCCTAACGGTGAGTTTTAAAAGCATGATACGGTTTTAGATGATAACTGTTTGATGTGATTTTCGATTGCATTTGCATTGATGTCAGAGTGGTAAGAGGTACAATAGAGCACTGAGTACCAGGTCATTAGCGACCTGATGGTCGTTAGCAAGTTGGGTACTACCAACTAGAGGTCTTCACGGATCCACCTGTACCCGAATACCCGAGTCCGGATCCGGATTCCGGATCCAGAATTCTAAATAATGTCACGGGTCTGGATCGGATCTGATATGATTGTCATGGGTCTCGGGTATGTGTAATTTTAACTGACTTGTCCAGAAGGACCCGTACAGATCCGAACGTGACTGCTGCAGTAGAGAGAGTACTTAGTATTCTGAATGGAGTTGTTGTTATTTTGTGTAGGATGAGAAAGCTGATGCACAGCTGCAGCCTCAATTAGCCTAGCTAGCTAATGTTAGCCAGCTTAACTAGCTTCTCCCAGTTTGATGAAGTCAAGACAGGTACTATGTAATCATATCTGATGATAAATAACCTAGCTATGGCAGCCAGTAGTCTACTATAGCGGGAGTCGGATTGATTGGTTGCTGTCGCTCCTCTCTCCCTGCTCTGAATGTAATTCGCTCACTGTAGGGCCCCTATCCCGCCTGCTAGAGCGGCACCTCTCTCTCCCTCTCACACTTTATCAGCTCCAGTTAAGAAAGTAGCTTAAAACATGACTTTTCTGCTGCTTCCCTCACTCGGATCAGACCGGACCAGGTCTAGTTGTCCTCGGGTCCGTTCAGAACGGGTCTCTATATTATTATATTTTATTTATTTATTTATTTATGCATATCTGTTCTGGGTGGCAAAGCCCCAGGTCCATTTTGGAACGGGTCCAACGTTTTTGACCCGTGAAGACCTCTATTACCAACGTCTATATCCAGAGTGTATAAAAGGAGATTACCGTGACTCAGTGGTCATGTGGAATTTGTCTGCTGTTATGACTCATGACTGCCAGTGTGGCAGTAATATGGTCACCACAACAGCCCTAATTGGACCTCACTTTCATCAACATCTTTATGCATCTACTGATCTATCAAGTGTTTAAACATATATTGCTATCTAGGCTTACATGGCATGGATGGATGCTCATATCAAATACATTGTTATAATAATAAGACACGCTAAATACTTATACTATATACTACTACTGTTATCTAACCATACATGAATGGGGTCATTGGGGTATTACACCTCATTAACACTACTGATAGTGAAAAGAGAAACACAACAAGAACAGGTGAAAACCACCTCAGATCAATAGTGTGAATGCAACATTATTTCTGTTGTACCTGCACTGCGATGTACAGGCCTGGGACATTAAAGGTCTCAAACATGATCTCAGCCAGATACTCTCTGTTCTCTGGCGTGTTCAACGGAGGCTCTGTCTGGGGACACAAAGATAAAAAACACTGTACAGTCCAACTGACGCAATCTAAGAGCAATAACAGCAAAGCTATAAAATTACAATTAGGTATTACAAAAACCATGCAGCTATTGACTGTAAACGTTTTCATTTAGAAAAACATAGACTAAATTCAGAAGGGGAAATGGGTGTATTCATCGGTATTTATAAATACTGAAATACCAATATCAAAAATAGAAAAATAAATACAAATGTCTATTTCACTCCCATATGTTACGACAAACAAAATACGTGTTATGGTGTATAGTTAAGCAAAAAAGCCAGAGGGAGTGTGGTATATGGCCATTATACCACGGCTAAGGACTGTTCTTAGGCACGACGCAACGTAGAGTGCCTGGATACATCCCTTAGCTGTGGTATATTGGCCATATACCACAAACCCCCAAGGTGCCTTATTGCTATTATAAACTGGTTACCAACGTAATTAGAGCAGTAAACATATGTTTTGTCATACCCATGGTATATGGTCTGATATACCACGGCGGTCAGCCAATCAGCATTCAGGGCTCGAACCAACCAGTTTATAATGGGGTATATAATACCTTTACAATAAACTGTCTCTCACCATAAGGAAGCTATGGTCTTCAGGCTCTGCCCGTAGATACTTGAATATGATCTGCTCCATGAACTTTTCCATCAAATCCCAGTCTTCCACCATCCCATGTCTGATGGGCCACTTTGGAGACAAAAAGCCACATGGTTACAACTCAAAACCATCCCAGTGGGCGAAAACTGGTAGAATTAATGTTGTTTCCACGTCATTTCAACCATGTAATGACGTTGAATCAACGTGGAAAACTGATTGGATTAGCAAAAAGTAATAAACGTAAGGGCATTATGTATTTTTTTCACCCAACTTTTAACCTAAATCCAATGACATGGTGAAATGTTTTGTTGATTTTACGTTTAATTCACGTTGAACTAGATGTTGAACTGACGTCTGTGCCCAGTGGGACAGATCCTATGAGTAGGACCAATCACCTTGGTTGCATAGTTGGGCTTATCAATGCCTTCATCTCCTATGAAGAAATCCAAGTCATCCACTCCCTTCACAAGTCGCCTCTGTGCCTGGTCTCCTACACCGGCTGACTCCCGTATAGCGATGCCTGAAATGGAAACACATAAGGGTAACAAACAGGTGTTACATTCCTCTCTAGACCTCCCGTCCATCAAGTCGATATACATGGACAGATGACGTACCAAGGCCCATATGTTCACACAGCCATCAAGCATATTTTAGACCTCTGTGGTCTACAAAGAACAGATCAAAACAGTCTGAAACTCATTTGTTGTCCGTTCCCTTGAGAAATGAATTGATGGTAATGAGTGAAATGGCAGCTGGAGTGCAGTACCTTGCTCAAGGTTACACAGCCGTGTGATGAGATGGGAGGCTACACTGCCTTTAATTAGTGCTTTCCCGAGGCGGAGCTTGATTCAAATCCAAAAACAAAAAACCTTCAACTCCAAAACTGATGTAAATAAAGCCATCTTCAAGTTAGAAGTCAATAGTGTTTGACACTGTTGCAACATAAGCTATACAGTATACTTACAGGACGGCATGATAAACTGTGGCTCTGTGTTTCCAGCATATCCAATCTTGGTGTATCTGCATTCAAAGAAAAACAGCACAAAGTCATCATAACACAGCAAAGATTACAATGTTTTCCCCTAACCATTGTGCAAATATACAACTGAATCATTTATTTATTTTCTGTACCATGGACGAAGCAGAATGCATTTGTCAATATTTTCTCTACTGATCAATTTGCAATTAACCTTTCAGAAACAACCAAAACTTTTAGCAATAAGTTCCCTATAATAAATTCACAGCATCAGGTTCTGTCTCGACCCCAGCCTTTCTGATTAAATAAAACTTCCTGTTTAACCATACTAATTCATCATGGAGGAAAAAGTAATCTCCTCTCAAATGTATATTGTTATCCAAAACATGCAGCTGTTTAATTAATAGAGACCTCTACTAATGTACTGCCCACAGGCTGAGTTATTCATCAAGTTAATCACACCTGTGAGTTTACAGGCCTTCGGATTCAGAAAAGTTAACAGTAGGCTCCTCTAGGGCTAAAATAGTGTACGTTTTAGAGGACCCTACAGCAGTGGCCAATGGCACTGTATTTACATTAACATCTTAGCTATAGACCTAACATTACAAAGTATTTATTATTATATATTATACATTATAATATATTATTTAATCTTATTCTGAAGTAAAATGTGCAGGCAGGTGCTTTCCACTTGGGTGGCAAAGGTTGTCTTGATTGGTGGCACAACATAGCCTAACGTTAGTAAATGCCCTTTTCAAGGCAGATCACATACTGTATCTTCAGAGCAAGCGCAGCTGTTTCGAGTAAACGAACTCACCCAGTCCCACAATCTATCACGCAAGGAGGTAGAGGGGTTGCCATACTCGTGTTGACGATTGTCCTATCGATACTAGAACACCATAGATTATTTGCAACAACTGTATCAGCTAGTTTAAATACAATGTATCATTAAAGGTTGGCTACACGGCTGATTGAACTGCCCCGTGCTCGCTTATTTCCCTGTAACGTTATTTCTATTACAGATTCTGCATTATATTGACCAGATACTCAAGTGGACACTCTAACAATGAAAATAAATGTCTTCAAAAATGGAAGGCAGTTGGGAGGAGGCAAGATTAGGTGGGACCATTCTAGCCAATGAGAGGGCAGATACGCGCAACAACAGGCATAACTACAATATGAAGTGTTTTTTCTCAAAGTTGCCGGGATGTCACGTGTCCTATTTAAATCAGTACACTCGTAACAACCTAAGCATTACAAAACTTCTAGTCGATCAAATAAGCCATACGTAGAAAATAAGCCATTCAAATTTTTGTTAACCAAATTCGACAATCTCTCATTGACTTCCATACAAAAACTCCTTGCTTCGTGAGCGAAAAAACACAAAAACGCCACCTGCTGGAGAAGACCGCTTTTGGGCCTAGTTATCCCTCTCGCTTCGCCTCTTTCTCTCTGTTTCTATTTCTAGTAGTTTGACAGCGAGAGTACTTCCCGAGTCAAAGGGAAAATTGAAAAAATAGAAACATGCTGGCTGGCTCCGTTCCCCACTTGAGCTTAGTAGGGAATGGGAACTCGCACACCTGACCGTGAGTCAGTTTCTCATACCAAAATGCTCTGTCATGTAGAGTGATTGCTAATACAGGATCAGCTGTTAGGCTACAGAAAAAAATGTTTTATTGAAACCTGTGAAAGTATTCCTGAAAATAATGTTTCGCTAAATGATATGGCTAAGGAGTATGCAATTAAATAACCTTGTAATTATGTGAAGAAGCTGCAAAAAACTAAATGCCACGGCTCCAATGTATTTCAATACACACCGCAAGGTGGCATCTGAATCCCACTGTTTCCTCTCGCCACGAGTTGTTAGGCAACCTTGTATGTATTCCTCACGCGCCCAATGAAAAGCAGGTGATGGATATTCTGTCACACAAGCTAATAGCCTTTTATTGATAACGTTGAGATTAAGAGCAATTATACTAAACTATTTTTCATTATGTATTTCATTATATCTACCAGAGAGGCACGATAACGATCCGGTAACAATTTCAATAGCTCATCTATGCCAGATATTACGGTAAAATTCCAAAAAGCAAGGAAGACTATTTGAAAATGCGCGTTATATTTTCCTGACAACATTTTACATTTACATTTTAGTCATTTAGCAGACGCTCTTTTCCAGAGCGACTTACAGTTAGTGAATACATATTTTTTTTATACTGGCCCCCCGTGGGAATCGAACCCACAACACAACAAGCAAGAGAGGATGGCAACAACCACTACAAAAATGACAGAGAACGGTGCATAAGTATGTTGCAAGATACTCTATGTGTAAAAAAAAGTATCTAACGAAAGGTTTGTAAGAAAGTAACTTGATGTCTGTGTTACGGATACAGGTATCCTGTATGTATTTTTTTTGTTTTTCCTCTCCTTCTGCCCTAATCACAGGTGTCCTTTGTGTTCCTGATTGGTGGTTGTTGGGGTGTCCCACCTGTCCGACATCCGTTTGTCTGCTGATTGCTGAGGTGGACCAATCAGTGGACATTCCTCTGCATTGCACCACCTGTTTCTGGTTTTTCACTCACACCTCCCATTGTTTTAAAAGCCAGTCAGTTGTGTTTGCTGACAGACTCTTCTCGTTTGTGAGTATGGATACTGTGGTGTCCTGTTTTTTGTGTACGCACTCATTTGCTGGTTACTCTGTATGGTAACTATATTGTGTGTTCCTGGGAAAAGGGGGATTTAGCAAGTTGCCCTTGTGCATACATTACCCGTAGAAAGAACATTGTCTAAAAACGCTAGTTAGACCTGAGTGGACCACCCACTGTATTTTTTGTATGGTTAGCAGTAGCTTAGTGGTTCTAGATGCAGGCAAGATCAGTTTAGTTTTTTTTTACATTATTGTTTCATTCCTTGGGTCCTGCTCAGCCCTTTTTCCCAAACCTTTACCGTGTGTTCATAATAAACATTTTGTGTTTGACGGTAGACATTTAAATTTTAGTCATTTAGCAGACGCTCTTATCCAAAGCGACTTACAGTTAGTGCATACATTATATATTTTTCCCCCTGTGGGAATCGAACCCACACAACGCCATGCTCTATCAACTGAGCTACATCCCTGCCGGCCTTTCCCTCCCCTACCCTGGACGACGCTGGGCCAATTGTGCGCCGCCCCATGGGTCTCCCGGTCGCGGCCGGCTATGACAGAGCCTGGATTCGAACCAGGATCTCTAGTGGCACAGCTAGCACTGCGATGCAGTGCCTTAGACCACTGCGCCACTCGGTTGTCTGTGTATTTGGTTGTCTGTGTATTTTTGTTCTCACTGTTTCCATGTCACGATTCTAATTTGCATGAGTTATGTTACGGGTCTCTTTTCCATCCACCCTAGACTTTTAAAGCCACGGGGTTCGTAACAGTCTGTGACGTTATATAGACTTTGCCAGCACGTCACGTGTGCATTTCCAATCAACTGTGCACCATTCCATCAAGTCTTTCCCCAATGAACACTAGCTAACTTTTACACCAGCATACACCTAATAACTACTGTTTGTTACATTGTTTTTGTCTTCAGTAACATTGCTACGAGCTATCAAACTTTACTGACACTCCATACCGGTTAACGAGTACGTAGATAACTGTTTACAATTTATTCTGTCCAACACGATCTAGTAATGTTAAACACAGACACATGGCAGTTACTTAGCTACATGCATTTTATAACTAATCTCATACTATTCTACACATTTTGGGGAGGGGGTACCTCCAGGGGTTGCAGGAAGCACTCTGGGCCCCTTATTGCGGCGCCTGCAGGGTTGTGTCCTACACTAGTGTTCTGATCTTGGTTGAAGATACTCTTTATTTTCAGTAGCGGTGGGTAAAATCACTTGGGAAGCCAAGAGCTTATCAGTCCATATAAAGAAATAACTACAGTAGTCACATAGTTGACATCTCTCCAGGTGACATAGTGGAGTTCCATGGCACCGAGGGCAGTGGGAAGACGCAGACCCTGTTCCATCTGGTGACCCACTGTATCCTCCCAGCCGACCGGGGGGGCCTGGAGGTGCAGGTCATGTACGTGGACACCGACTACCACTTTGACATGCTGAGGCTGGTGGAGGACGCCAAAGGGGAGGATGGTGTCGCGGCAGTAGAGCCAGAGGAGAGGGTGCAAGCCTGCCTGGGCCGACTCTTCGTGGTCCTCTGCTCCAGCTCGGTCCAGCTGCTTCTCACACTGCACTACCTGGAGAATATCTTCTGCAGCCGGCCCGCCCTGTGCCTATTGGTCATCGACAGCATCTCAGCCTTCTAGTGGATGGACTGGAAGAGTGTGGCCAAGCATGACGCCATCCTCAGGAAATATTCAGAGCTCCTGGCCCGGCTGCTGAGGGACTACCACATCGTGAGGAACTACGAGCACTCGGATCAGGCTGACACGGCGGCCATGACACCTGGGCCCTTTGAGCCATCCTCATCGTATTCCTCCTGGAGACGGTGGTCCTACTCCTATGCCTCAGACTTTGACAAGGCTTACCTCAGCAGGGCTTGGCAGAGGCTAGTGACACACAGGGTGCTGTTCTCCAAAGGAGAGGTGACCAAGGACAGAAACCTGGGGCCTCATGTACAAAGACTTGCGTTGAATTCATACTAAAACATTGCGTACGGACAAAGCCATAAATGTGCGTACGCACCAAAAAAATCTGATGTATGAATCTCTGCGTACGCAGCATTCCACATACATTCTCTTTGTACATCCCAATCAACGCGAAATTGAGCGCACATGCACGAGCACCACACCACACCCTGTCTCCTCCCTCAATTAAATCAATTTAAATATGGTAATTAGTCCAATTTGGCAAAAGAAACCTGCAAGAACATGGCTAAAGCAAGCAAGAAACGAAATTTCACTGAAAACGAATTAGAGGTGCTACTATCAGAGGTAGAAACAAGAAAAAATATTTTATTTGGAAATCTGTCCTCTGGAATTAATAACAAAAGAAAGAAAAAAGAGTGGGCGAGTTTGTCTGATGCCGTCAACGCGGTGGGATCTGAGAGTCGCACCGTAAATGAACTGAAGAAGAAATGGTCAGACATAAAGGTGGAAGTTAAGCGGAGAACTGCTGCGCACCGACAAAGTGTGGGCAGAACAGGCGGTGGTACAGGGACCGATGAACTTGCACCCTTTGATCAGAGAGTTGCCTCTATTGTAGGAGACACGTTCATCTCTGGAATCGTATCCGCTGATGTAGGAGACTCGGATATACTACAGGACTGCCAGCAAGGTGACTCAGATTTATTTCCTTAACTTTGATATACATAGCCAGCCACCGTTTAATTTTAAAATGCATGCAATATAGCAAAAGGTACACCAGAGATTTCACGTATCCACTGCTTTTATTGCAAATGCGTGTACCCATTAATAAGGAACAGACTCAAATTACTGTTAAGATGTGCCTGTGTTTAATTGGACTTAGGAACCGCAGGAACGTCCACTGGCACGCACTCAGAGTCCGCACCACCTGAGCAGCCAGAGCCCATTCAGTCCAGCGTCTCCCGTGTCTCTAATGTTCCCCCCAGTGCTGAAGCCCGTCCATCTGGCCGTGTCTTGACGCATGCTGTTCTGGAGTCACAACAACAAATTGTTAGGGCCATTGAAGAAATGAACAGTCACCTTAAAAATGTCACTGACGCACTCACAGAAATAAGCCATTCATTAAAATAATTGGTCAAAAAATGAACTTTGTGTCTGAGTACCATTTATATTGTCGCAATTACACGTTGACGGGCCTGAATGGCTTGTTGATTGTGCTGCACATATACTGGTCCTGGGTCAGGGTCATCTGGCGGTGCCCCCACCTCACCAAGGGGTATGCCATGCCTGTGCGCGACATTGTGCAGCACTCCACAGGCCAGTATGATGCGGCAAACCTTGTCAGGGCGGTATAACAGCATCCCCCCGGTCCTGTCAAGGCAGCGCCACCGACATTTCAGCTGCCCAATCGCCCGCTCCACAACTGACCGAGTGCGGGAATGGGCATCATTGTAT